TGGAAACATTCTTATCTGAACTGATGCGTCTGTTTTTATATCCACCAGAGGCATTCTTTTTAATGCTGATAAACCCTGAAAATGTCTGTAATTACCACAGCATAACAGATGATGCTTCAGGTGGAAAATAAAAATTGCAGACAGTTCTTAACGGAAGAGATATGACCTCAGCACGCAACCTTATTCTGCTGGTGCTGCTAAAAAGAAATACAACTGTTTTTCAAGAACCACGTTCTCAGATGTCACCCACGTAGTGGAATTTGAGTTCATTTCACCGGACGGTGTGCGGGCATATGCATTTTTAATGGCATCTTCCCTTCCCTGCAGATCTTAAAGATCTAAAACACATTGCATGTGTGGGACCTCCGGGGCGTAATTGTAAAAGTTTTGAAATCTATCCAGGCACATGTCTGCACCATCCCAGCCTGGTCGGGATAACCAGACAATTGTCTAGGATACATAATATACATAAGCTCATATTTTTGTGACAACCAAAGTTTCTTTGCTTGCTGCACAGGGATTAGATCCAGTTTCTGTACTGTTCTATGAAATTTTAAACAGAATCACACTGATCATTACAATATTCAAATGACCCAAAAGGCCTACTCATGTGTAACCTTTCTTAAGTATTCATTTAATTTGTAAAACCTATTGCCAGCCTACATGCACTACCCAAACAATATGCTGTTATTTCATATAAAATCACCTTCTGTATTCCGAAAGAAAAACAATAATTTAAAAATGAAACCTGTGCCTTGTAATGTCAATTGGCATACAGTATCTCTCTGCTATTGTGACTCATTCTTTCCCAATTTCTATTACACTTCCTTTTAGAAGTTTGTATGATACTGTTTATTTCTTTGAAATATTTATTTCTTCTTGAGGACTGTTTTAACCTTTAAAGTGGCAAAGCTTTACTTCAACTCAACTAACCATGACAATACCTAATAAAAAAGTACCCTTAAGTATTGACCCTAAATGGTTAAATTAATCTTCTGACATAATGAGCCTCTTCCTTAATTAATGTACAGTCCTCTTATGATCCTTTCTCTACCTCCTTTGAAGTGTTAAATTGCTTTTTTCACATTTGATCCATTCATTATAAACCATGGTTACATCATCTTTCAAAGGTCTATTTATTATGTTCATAGTTCCATGGTTTTCACGCAACACACCCTTTAACAATAGTATACTTTTCAGGCTTTGACAAGCTGAGCTCCGAACCAGAAATGTCTTAACCTTGGCTCAGCATTTGATATCCCAGCTCTAATTGGTTCTAGTGTTCCCGTGAAACTACGAGCTTGTGATGGCATCAGTGTAGAGGAATTTGAGTCATCTGAACCAGACACAGCATGGTCCACTGGGAGTATACTTCTTTTCAGCTACGTCACTGCATCAGCGTTCATGAATACAGCTTCCATCGCCTCCGACAAAGATACTGTACCATCAGCCAGCTGTCCATCTCCGGACAGCATTAACAGGATCCGTCTACAGCAACTTGACAATAAATCCTGGCCTCACATGACAGTGAGCCAACAGGAAGGGCATGGCTGTTATGAGTGCTTGCTCAAGGTACTGCGTTTGACCCTCAGCACAAATGTTACCGAAGGGTATTTTTATTTTTGGATGTCATTTCAAGGAGAAATCAAAATGAGATTTAAACTATAGATTTGAGAAATGTAGGAAATCAAGAATTTATGTGACTCCATATTATTTGACTTAAAACTGGAACTACAATCATGTGTGGAAAAAAAACACAGGGTCTCTCTAAAACAATTAAGGATCAACATAAAGTACTTAATATATACTGTATATTGCATTTTAAAATGGACTTGAACATTAATTTGAATTCTACTGAAAGGGAATTAATAATATTCCTCATTCTATACAGCACTTTTCATGATTCATTATCTCAATAATGCAATGATGGTTTTCAATTAAACAAAAGAGGTTTAAGCACCGACACAGTAAATTAAACAAAATTAAAAGCTAAAGTATAGAAGTGAGTTTTAAAAAAAGGATATGAAATTGCTGACAAGTTGGAGAAATCTGATATGGGCTGGGCAATCACTCCACTGTCCCGGAGCATGAGGAAAGAGAGCATGAACTCCCAGTGTTCAGGGCCTCAACTTAAGAAATGAAAGAAGACCGGAGTTCAAAGAGTGCAAATGACATTTACATGTAGGTGACAGGGAGGTAACAGCTCATTGATGTAGTCAAGAGCCAAACTGTTCAAGTCCTTAAAAGGGAGGGAGAGTATTTTGAGTTTTATTCTGAAATCCAATGAGCCAGTTAAAAAAAAAAGCTAAAACAGGGGATATACAGTACACTTTCACATTTTAGTTTTAGTTCAGATCTGAGCAGCCAAGTCCTGAACTTCCTGCAACTTGTTAAGAATGTTTGAATACGCTAGCACGCACAGTGTTACAAAAGACAAAAGCTTGCATTGACTTTTCTGCATGGGATCTGGAGAGATGTGAATGGATCAGCAAATTTTAAAAAGCTGAAATAAGACACCTTCCGAAAAATGTGTACATGAACTTCATATTCAAGGCTCAGACCAAAGATTGCCCCAAACATCCTGACCTGAGAGCTTAGAAAGATTCCAAGATAATCAACAGACATACTAAGGTTGAGACATTTACAGAGCTGATAACGAGCTTTAACTAGAATAACTAAAGTCTTGTTCAGATGTAAAATGATTTATTGCGTCCGTTTTTACCATCATGTAAGCAGTGTGACAAGAGCCATAGTGCTTGATAAATAAATGTTGGTTTTCATCAGCAAAAAAACAATTCTAAAATAAAGTGCCTGGTAAGGTGTTCATATAAGTTCAGGTGTTAGGTGTGCATTAAAGCATTTTAGTCTTGGATTTCCAGCAGTACAGTACTCTAGGCACAGTGCAGAGTGATCATCTGAAGAGATATTCAGTAGTACAATAAATGTAGGTTGTTATGAAATGTTGATTTGTTTTGCTTGTGCTGGGTGTGTTGCAAGCAACTCAACTTGCTTGTTGTACCATCTCACAGACTTATAAAACACTGAGCAACCAAAACAGATATACAAGGACTGTCTAGTATGTCACAGGACTAAAAGGAGAAAGACATGAATTAAATTGAAGAAAACCTGTTTACACAAAACAAGCCAAAATAAGACTGGCACCTGATCACTAAAACAATAAGCAGAGGCAAAATCTGGTTACAAATGACTGTATGTGCATCCCAATAGATCCTGACCAAAAACTAAATAGAAGAGGAAAAAATATATACTAAACATTTAAAAGCTTAGCTACAAGGTGAGCTTGCATTAAAGAAAAAGTTAACAGTAGATCAAAAAGGAACAATCTCTTGAAGATACCAAAGTGTAGGGGCTACCAGCACAGATTAGGCAAGACATCTGGCGGGGGCAGTTGAAATAGAGTGGTGTGGCTTGAGGGATAAAAAGAAATGGAAGTGTTCTGATCTGTGTTACTATGAAAGTTCCCATTTGGAACCTGCGGAAAGCTGATTGGATCCTGTGGTTTACTGGTGAAGAACACCATGGCAACACAATTCCCTCCTTCACTTGAATTTCCTTCAAGCAGCTCTCAGTGTATACCTGCAGAGTTCATTGCTCAGAGAGGGTTAGTGTCAGGAGCCTGTTCAGCAGGAGTGTGCTTCATGCAGGGTCATGACAAGAGCTTTTCATTTCAGGGCATTGCCACAGCATGGAAACAAGCCCGCAGCCATGTCTCTCTCCTGTTCCAGCTGGAAACAGGAGCGAAGGCCTTTTTGAACGTGAAGAAGCCTGTGGGACCACTGCCACTTCCTCTCTTGGTTCGTTAGCGAAGGCGGAAACTAATTCTTTATTGCATTTAGCTGGCTCCATTTCTTAAAATAGTTCAGAAGCTTTCTGGCTTTGGATGAAAAGATCACCATTGCAGTGAAAAGCAACTGTAATCTTGTTCTTGGTTAGTAATGAACAGCAGTAGACTTTACAAAGTAGGCTATTATAAGATGACAGCTACAATAGCGGATTTCAGATCAGAAGTTTTACCCACACAAATTCACAGTTTTAATTAACAAAGCTATGATATTAAAAAAATAATGGAATCAAATCAATTAGAACTAAATTAATCTCAGAACCCCCAGAGCCCCCTCAATATGTGATTATGCTTGATTATGTATGATTACATACATGATTCTGTATGATTACAGGCTGAAAGGATCAAATAAGCCACCTTACATTGACAGCATGTATTTAATCTCGCAACACCTGAGCTTTTAAACTATTCTGACCCTTTTCAAGAAAACCTTTTTCAATAAGAACCTACAAGTCTTAAGAATTACTTTCGCTGCTAATTCTTAAAGGCAGAGCTGTAGCTGAACATATTGTTAATGATGACAACATTGTTCTGTTAGGGCAAACCATGGCTAACAGTGGATTTTGTATACCTCTAGACTTGGGGGCAATAAATGTTTTATGAATATGGTTTTACAGGGGACACTTTAGTAGGGACGAATTAGAACAATCTTGAGTCTAGAGTTTCTGTTTTTAGAACAGGGACTTCCATGTGTCCTGCACACAACTGTTTTCAAAGCGTTGTGAGTTGGTGTGGCTGGGGAAGTTAGAGATCATGCTGTGGCTCGCATAGTGTCTATGTTTTGAAAGAAAGCTTTAAATTAATCTTTAGAGAAGTCACTTTGGTTCAGACACTAAGTCATGCTTTATATTATACCATACACATTACTACTAAAAACAAAAACATTCTCCTGAATCTGAACATCTCCCATCCTAAAGTATAAAACTGTAAGATGGAAGAGGAAACTGAATATTCAAGTGGAAATGTTCTGAGTATTGATTGGAACATATTAATAAAATGTTCTTTTTAAAATACACTTTTGTGAACATATCCAATGTTTCAGATTTACAATGTTTCATTTTTCAAAGTGAAACTAATGTTGTGTTAGAGGTAGGTTCATAGTTTTTAGGGAAACACAACAGCCTAACCATTGTGTCAATAGAATTTTTATTTTTTTCCCCTAATTTAAAAGTAGATCAATAGAAAGGTCAATTTTATTGGAATGTATATTCTTGTTACACAACTAACAGCTCCACAGCTTAAGACAAGTTCCTTCTTACCACAGGCGTTAAAAGTCATTTTTAATTTCGTTGGCTCTATCTTGTATCTTCTTTGTTATTTCTGAAGTAATATGAAGAAAGACAGAAAGACAGCAATGGGTAGGAATATTCAACATTTTTAAAATACATATAAAATACATACATGAAAAAATTAATGACGTGCATGCTTTTCCAAATAATTTTTCATAGTACACGAAGTTAACCAAAATGGCAGGCTGGCTTAAAGTAACTGAAAAAATTATCAATTTGCAAACATTATAAGAACTTTTATAAATACATGAAAATGAGTTAAGAGACAATTGCAATGAATTGTAGAATTGATCATCATTGAATCACAGGGCTGCAGGAATTTAAATGCACAAAAACATGGAATTGCAAAACAGTTCTGTTTTCTGTATCATTGTGATTGGACATGGAAATGTAAAAATGTTCCATACAACTGACCACATAACCACCAAACAAAGGTTGCATTAAAAATATTCTAGCTATTGCATTTCCTGTAGATAGCCTCCTGTTGTTCAGCTTTGATATATTGAAGTATCATCTGTGGAGTTTCAGGAAACAGTAAAATAATCTGTATTTTAGAAAGGTTAATGTATTCTTCTACAGAGTGTCTATGACTTCCTGGCATTTAATGCTTAAAGACACTCTTTATCAAACATATTTTATGTGTCTAGCTTTTCAGGAACTTTCAGATTTTATGACCCTTCACTACAGATTCATGTTCAGAATTTTGACATTTCTAAATCCAAATTCCCTGTTGTCCACATTATGTAATTGTTATCATGCAAAAAAGGAAACCACGATTGTCAAAAAAGAAAGTGCTGTGAAAGGGAAATCTTATTTACCCAATTATATTTTATTTAATATAAATTACATTTGTCTTTTAACAGTGGTAGGTGCTGAAAATGTAAGATGCACAATATGTTTATTTCCTTCTACTCTGGTTACTAGATAAAAGATGTGTATGTGTGTATGCGCAGTCAAGGTGGAACAGTAGCTTTAAGCTTACCTTTTCTGCTTTCAGATGTGGAACACTGGCTCTCAGGAGTTCCTGTCACACTCCAAATGGCATTAGAGTGTTAATTGCACTAGCAGTGTTCTTCCGCAGCCTTTGTAATAATGACCTTTAAGGTTTCACAGCAGCTTCCAGTTTTAATTTGCACCCAGTTGCAGCTACTTCCACACTTACTTGCTGCATGCAGTGTAAGGGAAGAGCTGAAGGTTACCTAAAGGACACAACGATAGGGACTCAGCACCATTTTGAAAAGACTACTTTTCTCACACTTGCCTGACATGCCGTAATTTATCTGTGTAAACAAGATATTAAACAAGAAAACATGGCTCCTGTGTCAAAGGGCCAGGGAATTAAAAAGCAAATTATGTTGCAGCTGTTTGTCTTATTCCAAACAAGGTAGGATACGCCCTAGAGGGGACACCTGTCCATCGCAGGGATACAGATACTGAACACGCACACACTCACACCAGGGCCTGCCTTGAGACCATTGCTTGCTGGGACAAACTTTGGCCTTTTCATAACCCTGTATTGGATAATGTGGTTATAAAACGGATGGTGGTTGGTTTTCTAAACTGTTTATTGGCATAGTGAACTATACTTCTAAGAGACCCACAAACAAAGTGGCTCTTGAAAGAATATTTTTAAGGTGTCAGTAGAAGTTTGCATCGTTTAGAGTTGTGATTCCTGAAAACAGTTGGCTGCTAATCCAGTGATTCATTTTACTCCTGTAAACTTAATATTCATTGATATTTATTCATTGACATCCCATTTTGGGTATTTTGTCTCAAAGAGTTTACTTCTGCTTTCAAATTATACACTTTACCATTTCCATGAATTTTGAGTGCAAACAATTATTATTTAGGGCCTAGTACCCAACCTTTGTGCTCAATTTCAAAAAGAAGGGTTGGCCAGTCTATTCAAACCTGTTGTTAACACCTTATGTATATATTTGGTCATTACTACTTAACACAGCAGACAGGTAAATGATTGGGCAGTAGAAACTCTACTAGTTCAAGAACATTTGAGACAACATAAAAAAGCCAAAAGTTTTTTATCTGTACTTGCTTAGCGCCTTTTTAGTTTGGCTTACCTTTACAAGAAACTTTACAAGCACTTTCACAGGAAGAGCTGCAGTGTTCTTTCCAGAGGTGTTACATTCACACCATCCTGCATTTAGCACAAACTCATCCAAGAACTGATAATTAATTTGATCTCCACAATCTGTGCTTACTTGCATACAGATTTGTTTAATTTAGAACTAAAATCTATTTCTTATTCTTTCAAAAGAAGATCCTTCTGTTTTACAAGTGCATTTGTAAATATTACAACATTTAAAGTAAAGGCTCATTATTCATTTCTTAGCTTTGCGTCTGCTAGATTGTAACAGCAATCATATAATTTATATAATTATACAGCACAATTTCACTTCGCTTTTCATTTATCATCAGGTTTCAAAGATTGGAAAATATTTTTATTTAATCATTTTTTCATTGACAGATATTGAGGTCTGAGCAGGTTCTATAAACCTGGGCTGACCAAAGTGATACTTAATACATAAAAAAGCATTAAAATATTTCAGATTCAGTGAGGTAAATTTCTAACACAACACTGTCACTTTAGGAGAAATGCCTGCAGGTTTCTTGTGTAAGGGATTAATTTTTAAATTAATACTGTATATTGCTATATTTTAATTTTTACATATCGAATATACCTACAACTATACATAGGTCACTGCACTGGCTAACTTTTTCAAATTACTTTTCTACAACTTTGTTAATTTAAAAAAATGAATCCTTTTCAAGTTACCTTGCAATAGTAACTTTCCCCTACATGGCACTATATTCACAAAATAGTCTGATTATAGAGATTGAGTTCTCCAATCTGCTTTGCTACGCTGAATTGTATTTCCTGTTTCTGTGGTCTTGGGGTGAAAAGCAAATAGAGGTTATGTTTTGTGAACATTAGGCAGTGTAGTGCAGATTCTTCTAATGGGTTTTTACAGATGGATTTCTTCGACCCCAAAAATAGGTTTTCTCACAGAGTTCTGGTTCCAAACTGTTTCTCTTGTAAAAAATGGCAGATGATGACAACATGAGAAATTAATATACCCATCATGCACCACCATTCCAAAGAGGAAGCACAGTTAGTAAAATTAAATCCCCAAAGTCATCCAATGCACATTGACTCTATACATTTTACTAGCGTATAAGCAGTAGGCAGCTGGCACCCTGATGCAGTGGTTAGTGTTGCTGCCTTGCAGTACTGGGGCCCTGGATTCAATTCCAGACCTGTGGTGCTATCTGCATGCAGTTGGAATGGTCACCCTGTGTCTGTGTGGGTTTCCTAAAAGGCCTAAAAGGCCTAAAACCTACTGGTAAGTGAATTAGCTCCTGGGAGAACTGGCCCTGGTGTGAGTGTATCTGTCTGCCCTGTGACGGACTGGTGTGTACCCTGCCTTGTGTCTGTTGCTTGCTGTAGCTAATCTTACCCTTCTCCTGCCCTACCTTAAATGCAAACATATCCTTCTCTGCTTGGCAATTGCTTTTTCCAAGAACTATACTAAGCACACCTTCAGAGCAGAAAACACATGCTTTTCTTCATCATAATAAGGCATAACTATGCTATGATTTAGTACAATTCATAAAGATAATCAAAAAACAAGATGATCCAAGTTATACTATATGGATAAAATATCCATATACTGTACAGTATAATACATTCTGGTGATTTACTGTATATGCCTGAATCCATTTGCAGCGTTATTACAATCAAACACTTCATATTACGATAAAATATATTTATTATGTTGGATTATTTCTAATATTTTTCAACATAGCAATCAGAATTCACATTCTGACCAGTAGAAAATACATTTTTAGAAACAATTCTACACACCTACAGTTGTAAATTCCTTTACTCAACGGCCAATCAATTTTTTTGAATCTAAAAATCTGAATTCCTACAGACGTTTAGTTTCCAAAACTTTATTCAGTTCAACGAATAGGAAAAACTGAAGTATAAATAAAGATCTGAATAAAAAACTGAAGTTGTTCCAAATAAACTAAACCCCCTTTTCACACAAGCACCTCCAAATACACAATTCAGGTGAAAGGGGAATTTACTATTGAACAAATATAAATAGTAACGCTACAAACTGGCTGAGAAATGCAGGTGTGTGTTTTCAGGGAGTTATTATATAGCACATTGTCTTAAGGCAAGCGATTCTGGTGACTCATTATTAGTCATCTGAAAAAACAATCCTGGTTTGTCAAACTGTTTTCTTTTGTGAAACTGTTATGTAGAATAAATGCAAATAAAATCTGAACATTGTGTTCATGTGTTACCACCTTGGCCAGGTCACAGAGTCTTCAATCATATGATTTAATCCATCAGCATGCCAAAGTTCAAAACATGGCCTTTCATTTCCCCTTTCTCTTGAATATTATTTTTGAGAAAATCCTTAAATGTTTAACATACAATTACCTCATCTTTTTCAATGTTAAGTAAGGGTGAGCTGGCCTACTTTTTCTGTGTCTTGGTTTGATGAATGATAGCAGTGCATTCAGTCCTGGTGACAGCATGTTGCCACACTCCTTAGTCATTAAGAACTGAGATTCTAGATGTGCTTAATTTTAGTCTGAAAAAACACCTACACCATAAGTTAGGAACAAACTGTAATCCCACCCCCAGTTCTCATTTCTTCAGTCATACATTTGTTTACTTAGAAATCCTCTCCCTTCTCATCATATTTTTATGTCATCTCGCACAGCAGGTATGGGGGTAATGCAAGATGCCTTGTTCAGAATCCTCTTGCCTCGTTAATGTATAAAAACAAAAAAGTCTGCAATTGGGACAAGGCTGTTAGGCCCCTCTAGCTCTTGCCTGGACAAGATACTGTATTTGCATCAGCTATGGAAACATGCCAGAGAATTAGCTTTAATTGGTCGGGCTGTTTGTTAACAAATGTTTGTGATGCAACCCTTCAGAATGTTCAGACTGCCCAGGTCCTGTTTTATTATCCACAGTTTTCTATTTATGATTTTTGATTAGGGTTAAGCTTCAGAAGGTTGGTTTTTCAGAACCCTTTTCCCTCTTTCTATACCATAAAGTATTGTAACAACCAATGTGCAAGGTTAACTATCACGAACTTCATGAACCTCTTACAGGTTTCTATAAAAACCTCCCTTTCTATAAACAACCCTGCTAAGCACCTGTTTTTTTTGCAAAGATCAGGTGGGATATTAGCAGGGTTAAAAGAACCGTTTCTCTGCTTAGAAGCACATGTTGGTGTCAAGAGGCAAAATAACCTCCATCTGAGAAGTAGCATCCCATCTGTTAGCATCCAGCACATGATAGCACTCTGTATTTCCATCTCCTTTTTTTGGAGAAAGCCTACACACATATCTCATCACTGGTTACTTTTTTTCTTTTTTTTTCTTAAAGGAAACTCAGGCGTTTAAATCTCTGTCTGCCAGAAATGATTTACATTTGTATATCGTCAGTTCTAAATACACAAGAGAAATACTAACAAAATGTATACCAACGAGCTGAGACTGTAAAGTTTTCTTGTACAGGTTAATAAGTTAAAATCACACTTTTGGGTATTAATGAATTTTTACATTCTGTCTTGGTTTTTACTTAAGTAAGGATATAACAGTTGACTGGAATGAAGTTGTAAAGATACAAAATAACTAAAAATAAACGGAAAGGGGTTATGCAAAACTCCAGGCAACATTGACATACATGGCATTATTCGTGTAAAGCTGCGTAGTGTACAATTCAGACACTAAAGTAGCATTTTAGAGAGTTGCCTGTGGTTGCTGAAAAATACTACCTTGGTAAGAAAATATTCAGAGCAAGTTACCAGCCCAACTGTTACTTTTATACTGCAGGTATAGATTTGTCCATTCAACATGGACAGTTTGAAGAACAAACTGGAAGTAAAGGGTGGTTTTCACAGCAGAACATATTCTTCCAAAGGTCAAATCTTATTCCAGGCTCTATCACCCAGAGCTCCAACAGTGTCAGGACAAGCTGCTCACCATCACAGTAAGAAGGTAAATCACTAAGACAGACCGCACGCTTACGCACTACAGGAAATCTTCTCAACTAAGGCTGTAATTGGGGCAATCTCCTGTAAGACAAGGTATGGGCAGTATCCGCTGGAGAGGAAATAATGTCTTGAATTGACAATGCTAAGTTAATAACACA